ACAAAGAACGATACATTGTACTCATATCATGTTTAAAAATTAACACAAAAAATATATAATGTAGGGTATAATAGGCGGAGGAAATGTGTTCTAACTCTTGAGCAGTGAAAAATGCAGTATTATAATCAAAAGTTCTCTTTAAAGCATTAATGCAAATATATTGCGGAACATAAACTTATTTACACGAAAAAAGCAATGTAAACTTGCAAAAGGTAAATTAAAAATGCCAAATATCATATTATTGAAGCTGTAAGCCATCAATGGTATCTTGATATAATTCTGTGAAGCATAGAACTGTTTACTCTAGTTTTCAAACTTCTAAAAACCTGACAAATAACATCTTCATTGAAAAATATTAGGATGATTCTGGCAAATTCGAGGTACTTCTAAAATAACTAGAAAGATAACAATTTAAAAGTTCACTTTTATTTAAGTGTGTTTGCTATGAAAGCAAAAACAAACTTGCGGAAGTTATATTTAAAATAAACACATCAAAATATATATTGTAACCTTAATATGATCATTTTGTATCACAAAGGTTTATTTTTTCAGTAAATTTAGTTATTTGCAATCTGTGTCTATTTGATAACATACTATAGATAATTTATGTAATCCTCCTCCTTTTCCACTGCAATTTCAAGTTTTTCACGTGCAAGTGTGTTAGTTCTCTCACTTGTATGTGGAGTCAAATTTGGTGTAGAATGAATGTTTACACTGTTCATCCTCAGACATGTTTCTGTCATAATTATCATCTTCGGTACTAGACAAGTAATCTTCAGAATCAATATCTTTGCAAACGTTAAATATTAAGTGTAAAATCAAGTTAACAAAATTTACTTTATAGCATCTAATCAGGAAAAAGACACATTTATACACTATTATTCAATGAAGCACTATGATCTCGTAAATGAACTCAAATATGATTTATTATGACAGTCAAGAATAATTGACCTAGATTTCATATTAAGTAATTTCATCAGAATATGAAATAAATGATACAATGTATATATTTTACTTTAAATGAATTATATTGTCAAAAGAAAATGTAAATGAAATTCTCAACAAAATAAGGATGAGTGCTGGCATAATGGCCCAGATGTAAGCCTCTCAACCTATGGAGAGTATGTTCAAGCCATTCAATGATTCTTTATGTGATACCAGTAAGGTGGAACAAGAATGGGAAAATATACTTCACTTTTTTCAGTCAGTCAATAGTTAATAACTTTATTTTTATGCTTGACGCTTACTTAAATATTTTATTGAAATTTGAAAGATTCGTGTTAAAAATTTATATTTCTCGCGTATTATATCTTACTTACTTACCATATATACTTACCATTGTTTCACGTTATTTCAGCAGATTTCCTGCAAAATGGCGAGCGTGCCTGTGTGTTCGGAATACTTTAGTTTAAACAATATTTTATTTATAATCCACACATTTACATAATACATTACATAAAATAAAATTTACGGATTGAGTAGGAAGCTTGTAAAGCTTTTTTGAAAACTATCCCCGGAATACTTTGTAATTGATCCTTGCATAAATTATAACTGTCAATAAGCAGTAGACAGTAAACAGTAGGCAATGAGCAGTACGCAGTGAGCAACAGGCTATCGTTAAAAGAATTCCGTACTATTCGGCTTAAAACTGATCCAAAACTGACATTTATTATCCCCCACCGAAAGGCGGCGGGGGATATAGAAAAAGTCTTCGTCCATCCGTCCGTCCTTCCGTCCGTCCTTTTTGTCCGGAGCATATCATAAAAAGTATTTGATGTATCAACTTGAAACTTCATAGGTAGATAGATCTCATTGAGGTGGAGTGCAGTGCACAAGAATGATATCTCTACCCTGTATAATTTTTGAGTTTTTGCCATTTGTTATTTTTCAAATTTAATTTTTGTCCAGAGCATAACTCAAAAAGCCTTTGAGATATCAACATGAAACTACAAAGGTGGATGGATCTTACTCATGAGGTGTGCAGTGCATAAGAATGATAGCTCTATCCTTAATAAGTTTTGAGTTATTGCCCTTTGTTATGTTTCATACTTAATTTTTCACTTGAGTGGAGCATAACTTAAAAAGTCTTTGAGATGTCAACTAAATTGTAATAGGTGGATAGATCTTATTGAGGAATAATGTTGTGCGCAAGAATGAAAACTCTTCCGTATATATGTTTTTAGTTATTGCCGTTTGTTCTTTTTCATACTATTTTTTCCGGAGCTTATCTCAAAAAGTGTAAGAAGTATTAACTTGAAACTTCATAGGTGGATAGATCTCATTGAGGTGTAGTGCAGCGCACAAGAATGATTACCTACCCTGTATTATTTTTCAGTTATTGCCCTTTGTTATTTTTCATGCTTAATTTTTGTCCGGAGCATAACTAAAAAGCCTTTGAGATATGACAATGAAACTTCATAGGTGGATAGATCTCAAGTCAGGAGGTGTGCAGTGCACATGAATGATAACTCTACCCTTCATAATTTTTTAGTTATTTCCCTTTCTTATTTTTCATACTTATTTTTTTCCTGAGTGGAGCATAACTCAAAAAAATCTTTGAGATGTCAACATAAAACTTCATAGGTGGATAGATCTTATTTAGGAGGAATGCTGTGCTTAAGAATGATAACTCTACCATTTATAATTTTTGAGTTATTGCCCTTTTTTATTGTTCATACGTTTTGTCCGGAGCTTATCTTAAAAGGTATTACAGGTATCAACTTGAAACTTCATAGGTAGATTGATCTCATTTAAGAAGAGTGCAGCGCACAAGAATGATAACTCTACCGTTCATAATTTTTCAGTTACTGCCTTTTGTTATTTTTCATGCTTATTTTTTGTCCAGACAGTAACTCATAAGGTATTTACTCTATAAGGTTTTCACATAAAACTCAAAATATAACTTAGTCTTTGTCTGTCCGTCTGTCCTTCCGCCCATCAGTCAGTCCGTCCTTCCGTCTGACATTTTTGTCTAGCGCATATTTCAAAAAGCCTTTGAGATATCAACATGAAACTTCATAGGTGGATATATCTCAATCAGGAGGTGTGCAGTGCACAAGAATGATAACTCTACCCTTCAAAGTTTTTGAGTTATTTCCCTTTGCTATTTTTCAAACTTAATTTTCACCCGAGTGGAGCATAACTCAAAAAGTGTTTGAGATGTCAACATGAAACTCCATACGTGGATTTAACTTATTGAGGAGGAATGCTGTGCACAATAATTATAACTCTACCCTTTATAATTGTTTAGTTATTGCCCTTTGTGGTTTTTCATACTTTTTGTCCGGAGCTTATCTCAAAAGTTTAAGAGGTATCAACTTGAAACTTCATAGGTGGATATATCCCATTGAGAAAGAGTGTAGCACACAAGAATGATAAACTACCCTGTATTATTTTTCAGTTATAGCCCTTTGTTATTTTCAGCCATCAGTATTCACAAAGGTTTCAAATCTGTAATCACTTCAGCCATCAGTTTTTTTTACAAAAAGACATCTTAAAATTAAATAATATTGCTCTACTACATATATATTCTTCCAATGAGCAAACACATTCGGCGGGGGATTGCCATGTTGACATGGCTCTTGCTTAATAAGTTCTACCCTACTTTGTACATGTTAACGGATGTGATAATAAGGGTATTTATATCTGTGTAAAACAAAACGTAACAACTGTTAGACGGTATTCTATGTATTTTTAATAACTGAAAACAAATATGTTGATGCTGTACACCCATTTTGTGTGGGAGAGTAGCTTTAAACCCTTTATATTACAGCTGTGAAGGTAGTTGCTCCTAATGCATTACCTGAACACAAAGTGCTGAATGTGATCTATTGTGATACCCTGCGTCCGGCGTCTTCTGACCATCGTTAACGTTTTTACTTTAATGACATCTCCTCCTACGCCCTTACATCAATAGTGATAAAAGTATACAGGAATGATCTTTAAATGCATCTTCAAAACAAATAGTTTTCTAGAATAAACTGCTGAAATGGTTCTGGTCTGCTGATAAAAATAGGTGACAGAGCTAAAATAGTAAATCCTTTCAATTACTTCTCCTCCATTGGATCCATTGTGATAAAACTATATATAAATTGTTGGAAAGTCCTCTATGAAAGCTGCTCAAATGGTTCACGACAGAGCAAAAAAACACCTTTAAAACAACATCTGCTTCTTAACTACTGTGTATATTTTGATGAAACTATGCATATGTCAAAAACGGTGCTGAAATTGTTCTGGCCTGTTGAATAACATGGCATCGAGTACTTTAAATAGAAAAAAATCATTGGCATCTCTTGCTTACGTATTTGGTAGATTTTTATGAAACTATATAGGAATGATTCTTGGTTGGTCCTCTATTAAAATTGCTCAAATTATTAATGGATTGCTAATCAAGATGGCCGCCAAAATTTAATAATGCAATCTTGTTTATTTGAGCGTGTAAGGGCCATCGTGATCCTCTTGCTTTTTTATATCTCTAAGATCCCTTTTAAGAAAACAAAAACTGTTAGATTTTAATAATATATTTATCATAGGTATTAATTGGCTAAATAAGGTTAATTTTGATCATATTAATACATATTTTAAATAATTTGACTGGAAACAGTCATTTAGCTTGTTTATTTTGCGAGATGAATGATAGATTTTGTTTCTTAACAATTATTAATAGGAATACATGTTTGGACGATAATACAGATTTATAGGAGTTTCCTTAGTGAAATAATGTTCGATTTTTTTACAGTACGGTAATATTTTTTTTCAAATTTTGAATACAGGTATATTTTCAATAAATGGAACATTTGTTGTTAAATTTTTAAGTCCCTGATAGTGCCCACTCGGGGTATACTATCTTAAATATGTTGAACGCGACAAATGATAAAGAATTGAATAGCAAGTGGAAATTAACATTAATAGAAAACAAGAGTAAGATTAACAAAGAAAAATACTAATTAGCAATAGCTTGTTTTTTGCGGATGAAAAACTCAATATTTGGCATTTTTCAGGATAGAAAAACCATTATTCGATGTGGAGGAAAGGAGTAACATACTATTTTCAGATCTAACTGGAACACATCATTCAAAAAGTGACGAACAACGTTCACCTGTTGATACATGTAAAAGTATCCTTAAAGTATTGGACAAGTACGTCAGAATAAAATAAATTTCATAAACTCAAAGACATAAGTAATTTCGCGTAAATTGTACGAAACATACTTCAGATATAGACTTCGATCAAAAATGACAATTTACATAACGAAAGGAAAGCGGCATCCTGGTTAAATCTTACGGTTCAAAAATAAAACATAAGAGACAAAAGATGTTGAACCTTGTGCATTACAAATGAGCGTAAGGATAACTTTGGACAGCACAGTTTTCAGGTTCTACATCATAATGCCGTTCCTATATAGTATGATATAATGCACCGACCTGTCTGTCAGGAGAGTTATATAATATATATTGTTTAATGTTGAGTAGAATAAACACCTAGCGTTCGGTTAAGCTTTTTAAAAATTGTAAACGCATATGAATTCACATAAAAATATGCAATTATGTGTGCCGCATACGCCTGTTTGAAACACACTTAAATAGATACAGCCGTACATCTTATCCTTATATAGGCAAGTTAAGTAAATGTTACAATTGGCGATCATCTCATTTTTGCAATAAATAATAGAGTAAAACGGTACTTACTTTTTACTCTATATTTATGAAATGAAAGTATGACACTTTGTGTTATCCAGTGCGATAATAAGTAAAGAATAGAATGATTTGCATATTTCTTATCTTAGCTAGTTACACAAGTTACACATTTATATTTTTAACAGTAAGAAAAAATTAATCAATCCTAATAATTTTATTCTAAATTGTTTATAAATTCACGACGGTAAAGAAAATAGAAAAATGTGATCTACATATCTAATTGTTGAAAATATACATTTTGCCAACTATTCCAGCTGCAAAACTGAGACCGAAACACTTGTCGAGATTGTTTCGAGGCTTGAAGTGGATCTTAACATCGACAGAAAATCCGGATCAGTTAAATCTGATTCAGTTTCAAATAGATGCAAAGCGATTAAGGAAACAGTAGAAAAGTAAGTGCAGTTTGAACATTCATTGACTTTACATGTATTCTAAACGGACGCTTTTTATCACTTTCTTTCCTTGATTTCAATAAACCCTTTACCTCATGAGCATATTGCGCAAATTGACCGTTTTCATTGAAAAGTATCCTGTTACAAGTTCACACTGCTATTGAACTATGACAAATGCTTCAATACTGATGAAACTTAATACAAATAATGTTGACTGGACCATAGTCTCTGTAACAGCATGCTCAATTTGAAATTATCCGTTTCAATGTCAACGCCGGAACGTCTCAAAATTGCCAAAACATCAGTATTTTGCATTGTTTTTTTTTCATCAAAACTGATTTCAAAGTGCTGCAATTTCACAATGGATTGATATAGAGTAAAAGGCCTTCAGCGGGGGGGGGGGGGGGGGGGCTATCCCTTCTGGCAACCCCTTCATGTACCTTTTGATGGAGGACGGCGCCGAAAAAAGTGATCACTTTTTTACAACATTTCTCAAACGAAAAACAGTGTATAGTTTAAACATAGTTTATTTCAAACAATGATACAAGTACATTTTGTTAATACAATTACAATAATTAGATACACGAATGAAAAAGGATTAGAGCCGAAAGCTATAAAGCTTATAAAGGTCTTCTACATATTTGTACAATGCAGTTAAATTATGACAGTGTTTGCAATATTATTTGAAACAATGAAGTTAGTTTTTTACATATTTGAAACGAAAAAAAAATCGAAGATTTTAGCTATTGTTCAAAAGATCTTTTTTTTTAAGAATATAAATAATTGAAAAGAATTTGAAAGAAGGTAAAGAAGATTCATTCGGATAGGTCAAGTTGGCATATTATTTGCTCATGAAAATCGGTTACTTTCACGTATATATACATAAACTGCTTGAACAATTTTAGAATTAATGTCATGGCTAAGATTTTGGTCTCCGTTTAGTAAGGTATGAAGTGTTATAGTACAGATATTAGAAACAGCATCAAATAGTCTGAGTCTGATATCATTATAAAAGTGACACTCAAAGAAGAAGTGGTGGCTACTTTCCAGGAGACCACATTGACAATTTGGTGAGGGGGACATATTTTTTCTGAATAAGTGATGGTTTAAAGAGCTACATTCTGTTCGGAGCCATGTGTGCATGACTTGCCATTTTCTTTCTCCTATGTGATAGTATTTGGGGCATTTTTTATATTACCTTTAAGTTGCGTTTTAAAAGAGGACAAAGATATTGAGTTTTGTACCTCTATTGATAGTAAGTTCCAATCTCTCAAAGCAGATGGCAGAAATGCATTATGGTAAAGAGAAGTTCTTGTATGTATTGTTTGCATGTCAGAAGCATTTCGTAAATTGTACATAGACGTTTCTCAAACTGATGGTGGAACTAAGGACGATAAATAATCTGGTGTGAGACCGTTTTTCATTTTGTAAAACAAAATAAGTTTGTGATTCTGTCTATGGCTTTCGAACGATTCCCAAAGAACTTCTCTTTGAAGTTCCTGAAGAGATACAAGTTTAGTGGCCCCTGAGACTATACGGGCGGCTTCATGTTGAATTTTATCCAGTTCAAGTTTTTCATATTGTGTACAGTTGATCCAGACTACATCTGCATATTCAATGAGAGGTCTTATGAATGATAGATATATAACTTCTAGTGATCTTCTGTCTAGTGTAAATTTAAGTTTTTTCATGATATGAATTCTTTTCCAAGCCTTCTCTTTGATAGAATTAATATGTACATGCCAAGAGCAATAATCAGAAAAGTAAAGACCAAGATGTTTATGACTATTTACTGAGGAGATAGGCTGATCATGCATTAGAAGTGGCGGATGATAAGGCTTATTTGTTTTGCATGACATGATCATAGTTTCCGATTTAGAAGGGTTGAATGTTACAAGCCATTTATCAGCCCAACTTGAAATTTTATCAATATCAGATTGAAGAGTTGTCGCGGCAGCTATTGGATAGTCAACAATTATGTGCAAACTAGTATCATCGGCAAAGAGGTGTATGCTTGAGTTTAAATCGTCAACAATATCATTAATGTATACCAGGAACAACAGAGGCCCAAGAATAGATCCTTGAGGAACTCCTGCATTTACAGTTGACCAATTAGAATGAGCTCCTGGAAGAACGACACATTGACGTCTGTTAGAAAGATAATCAGAGAACCAGTTCAGCAATTATCCATTTAATGCAGCATTTTTTAATTTATAGAGAAGACCATCATGCCATACCTTGTCGAAAGCTTTACTTATATCAAAGAATACTGTTCTTACTTCTAATCCGTCGTCGAGAGCCTTTGAAAACAGTGTATAGGGCCTAAACAGGGTAGTTTTATACTGTTTAAGGCCTTAAAGAGTGGTCTAAAAGCCGTCAAAACACGTCTAAATGAGGTTAAGGGTTAACAAAAAAAGAATAAAAACCTTGGAAATTACCCAAACTTCTATGTTAACACGTGGCCTTTCATCTAATTTTGGTGAAAAAATGTTGTTTTGTAGCATTTTTTATTTTTTAATTTACGCTTTACCTCATGAGCATATTGTGAAAAATGACTGTTTTCTTTAAAAGCCTCCTGTAACAAGTTACAAACTGCTATGAAACTATGACAAATGCTTAAATACTAATGATACTTGGCACACATTTTGACTGGACAATAGCCTCTGTTACAGCATGCTCAATCTTAAATTTCCTGTTACCATGGCAACGGGGGACGTCTCATAATTGCCAAAAATCACTATTTTACATCGTCTTTTTCCATCAAAACTGATTTCAAAGTGCTGCAACTTCTCAATGGATTGAGATGGAGTAAAAGACTTTTCAGCGTTGGTTACACGTTACCTTACAATTGACCTGAGGCCAGTTTTAGCCTGTCACATGTTCAAAGTTTTCTTGGCGATGAGGGGGACTGCCACCCCTTGAAACCCCCTTGAAACCCCACAAACAAGGGACACATCCCCCCCCCCTTCTGGAAACCCCTTGATGTACTTTTTTTATTGGGACGGCGCCGAAAAAGTGATCACTTTTTTAACAACATTTCTCAAACGGATAACAGTGTTTGGGACCTAAATAGGGTAGTTTTTCACTGTTTGAGGCCTCAAAAAGGGGGGGGGGGTAGGTCGAAGTCTTCAAAACACGTTTAAATGACGTAAAGGGTTAATCAAAATTAGAATGCATGATAAACATTATGATTTTTTTAAAAATAACACACATGCCTGCATTTAAGATGTTGTGATAAAATTTATATTATTGATAAGGTTAACTTACTGAAATGATAGAAGTACTATGTAATTTTATACTTATCTTTATACCATTTGTTTTGCTTTGAGAGAGTTAAAAAAATAAGTCATTACATTCTATAAAGATTTAGTTTATGTCTAATATTAATTTCTACAACTGGTATATTTAATATGTACTTCTTTCTTTTGCCATGCTGAATTATATAATTTAATATTAGTTAAATGCTTCAAAATGAAACAGGAGGGTTTTTTACTTTGTTTTTATTTGTATTGATAGTATATTATTATATATTGAATGATAATAAGTGTATAAACATTAATAAATGCATATTACAGTGACAGATATTTATGAATAAATCTTCTTAGATATTCTAGTCAGGACCAGATGACTGGTGAAAAGATTACACTTTAAACATGTATATAGACAAACAAACATCATACATATTGATATATTTACTTGAATTCCTTTTTAATTCATTATGGATTAATTCATGTAACATGTTGTTTTATTTCCTATCCAATTCATTGTTATAACATATCTTTGTGTAGATATACTTAATTGTTTCTTAAAAAATAAATGATACGCTATAAATTTAAATGTATTTGTCATAGTTTAATATAAATATAAGTACATGCATTTAGTTTTTCTGCTGGTCAACTTCTAACCTTCGCCTTAATCGGGGAGGAGTTTTACTTTCAGTGGGATGGTTAGACTCACTGGGTAAGATGTGGTATTCAACATCCTATGAAGTTGCCAGTATGATTTCTAGTACTGTTTTGTTATTTTAAGAATATAATCCGAATATTATATAGTTTAAACTGATTTAACATCCACTATGAATTAAAATGTATTTTATTGTACCTGACACATCAACATCTTATGATATGTGTGTGTAAATCATGACAATTTTATATGTTGACTTTCTGTTTTATTTTTATCTACGTGGGTTTAATTTACATTTTCTAAGAACTTGTATTTAATTTCAAGGTACAATGTCTTACCCTGCAAGTACATATGTTAAAATCAATAGTTTGTATAAAATTAAAGCATTTTTTTATGTAATTAAGATAAATGCTTGATGACACCATGTTCTTGGAAAAAAGAAAATAAATACATTGTTATAACAATGTTATAATACATTGATACATATTGGTATATTAAGCGTGCATTCATTTTTAAGTATTATAATAATGTTAATTAATATACCAAATTAATTTGTACTTAGCAGTAATTATTTCAATCAATCTTATATTTATTTGAAGTTTTGTTTAACTATATTTGATGGTATTTTTTAGTTGATTTATTATAAATTTCATTGTGTTGTTTATTCTTGGCAACACACTGTTTACGCATAATTTTGCATTATCACACTTAAACTGTTTTGATATCTAGATATTCTAAATGTTATAAAATAGTTAGGGAAAAATATCTCATATGTGAACTTTTTTGAATTACCATGATTTTTTAAAGAAAACTGTGATTAATTTTTTGACAATGGGTGAAATAAAGATATTGTCTTATAACTGTAGAGGCCTTTATGATACGAAAAAGAGGTTAGATGTATTTTTCTTTTTAAAAGATCGCAAAGTAGATATATTTTGTTTACAAGATTTGCATTTTACCGAAAATATGAAGAAACATTTATACAATCAGTGGAATATTGAATGCTTTTTTAGCTTTTATAAATCAAATGCTCGAGGAGTTGGTATTTTATTTAAACGAACTTTAGACCTTAAAGTTCATCAATCCTTTGTTGATGA